TATCAAATCACTGAATTGAAAAGTTTGTCCAAAACTTGACAGAAGTTGGACATGAATCATGTGCGAGCACAGGTTTCTTCTTAGTAAACGTGTCTGTTGCATCTAGTTAGTGGTAGATTCCTCAGTATTCATGTATATCCAAGGTGTAAGTGACTTAATACCTTGCCTGAGATCAGAGAAACCAATGTAAGGTTGGCATGGACATTTACCGACTGGCAGTTCATGTTGGTAATTAGGGCAACTTCTGCAATTGCACTGCCCTTTGTCTTCCTCTGGCCATGTGGGCTGTTATTAGTTTGGTGTAGATGACACTCAGATCATGTTGAACCGAATGTCAGTACTTGCCCCCATACGAGCCAGTTGACCAAGCCAGATGGTCAGCAATGCTGAACTTTGCAAGTTTTTAGGGTATCCTTGCATTGTTTGCATTGAGCACAATTGACATTGTTGTTGTTTGCCTTGGGACAAATCTGCACAGAAGATCTGCTTGGGAATTCTGTAATCATCTATACAGAAGATACGGCCTGCCATCTAAGTCGAATTTTCTGGAAAATAGCCTCCATGGTTTTGAAATAAAAAGAGAAAATAGCAGAGGAAGAACAAGCTGAATGGACCTCTCTAATGGCAAATAATGTTGATCTTGCTTTGTGCACCTCGTGTGCAGCCATAACCTTGTATGTCTCCCTTTTTCTAAGCACCCTACAGCCTGTATGTCTTTGTTTGCTATGATCTGCCTGTACTGCTTGCAAACTTTCCACTGTATTTAGGTACATGTGACTACCATAAGTGAAATCAAATCAAATCTGGCAGCATCTGTGGAGATAAAAACAGCGTTAACATTTCAACTCCAATATGACTCTTCCTCAGAACTGGAAAAAGCTGGGAAATGGTGTTGATTCCCAGGATGGTAAAGGTTGTTGTTACTTGTGATTTTATTCTATTATTGAATTCTCATAATCAACCACAGGTGCCTTGGAAATTTTCCAAAGCTTTTATATGGCACTTATAGCAGACCCAGGATGCTGCACTATACAGCAGAGTGATGATGACAATGGTCTGGTAGAGGTCTTCAACCTCTCCAGTCTCCACTAAAGTCGCAGAGGAAATAAACAGAGAGCTTCTGTAAGCAGATGACTGTACCACAGCTTTCCATAACGAGGACGACATCCAAACTACAGTAAACAAATCCTAAAGAATCACCAGACACTTTGTTCTCCAAATCAGTGTCTCCAAGACATGGACTATGTTTCAGTCACCACCAAGAACACACAATGAAGCACCAGGCATGCCTGTTCATGGCATGGTTAGAGGAAGATGCTCATACCTTTGTAATGTGTTCTCTAGAATTGTCACGATTGATGAAACTATCATGACAACACATCCAGAGAGCAGGTTCTGCCTGTAGCCAATTCCATGATCTTACATAGAAGCAGCAGCATGACATTAAAGTGTTTTGCATCAAGAATTTTAATAAACTTATGTCACGCATATATGATTGACTACATTATATTTTTAAAAATTAACAAATCGCAAAGGAGTACACAGGGGAACCACAAATGAGCAAGCGGAATTTTTTGTAAAAAGCAGTTTCTTTGAAAAAGCCAGCCATTTCCTGTAGGTCAGCAGATGCCTCCAAAAGGAAAAGCCAGGGATTTACAAGCAGTGACCAATCTACAGCCAAAATTCCTACAGCAGCAAAAATTTAACCTCTATTTAACCTCAGTACATGGAACTATGTAATAGCAATGACACTTTCTGACTTAAAGTGACAGATCTCTTTAACATGACTGAATAGTTTTACATAGGATGAAGCTTGAAGGAGGAGTATTGGCCAGGACACTGGAGAACAGCACCCAGCTCTTTCTTAAATAATGATACAGGATCTGCTCCATCCAACTAAATGGTCACCAGAGATTTTGTTTAGCAACTTTCAAATTTTAGGGGAATTCAGTAGGTTAAATGTGGAGTAACTATTTCGTCTGGTTGGTCAATCAAGAATAAGGAAACATCATCTTAACTCTAGTGCATGGTAATTCAGAAGTGAAGGCATGTAGAAATCTGGAACTCTCCCCATGATGTTAGGAGTGGAGCTTTCAAGATGAAGGTCAATAGATTTTTGGTGAGTTGGACTATGAGGTGTTGTAGCCAATTCTGCTTGCCAGCATACCAGGAGATTTAATCATGTAATATTCTAACAATGCAGAATTTGATCATGTGACATCTGATGACATGATTAAATATTTATCTCAATACCTTTGAAATGAAAGGGTAGACTTTCCAATGGCTTGTCGTTATTCCATTGTGGATGGGAGTTGGACATGGCGGCCCCACAGAATCCCCATTGTAGCAGACTCCAAAGGAATTTCCCACGAAATTGAATTTTCTGCTGGGTAATTCCCCTATGCTTGGAACTCTCCAACAGTTTCCACGAAATGGTTCCAATGAAATAACATAAATGGTTACTCTGAAAAAGTAAGAGTATTAAATACATCATCCAACTCCCGAGTAACTCTTAAAGTGACTCCAAACTTACCTCGGACACCCCCAACTACACCTCCACCAAACCCCTTACATCCCCTTGACTATGACCAACCCTGCTGTTGCACCCAGGTCAACGCTGCTGCTGAGAGACTGCAACATCCATTCTTTTCCAATCACCCCATCCCCATTGCTGGACCTGAACACCCACCCTCTCTACACCCTGCTGGCCCTACATCACCAGCCCACCCTGTCCTACCCTAAACACCTCCTGCCCCACTTGCCTTATTACACCCTAGCCCCACTCAAGCTAGCATCCAACAAACCTTGCATCCTACACCTACCCATCTGGCATTCTACCACCTGGCACCCCACTTCCCTGACAGCCTAGCAATCTGGCATCCTACCCTCCCAACATTAGCTTTGGCTCATAGACTTGCCCAATGAGAGTATCTGTCAGGGTCTTTACATTTCAGAGTACAGCAGGAGATTGCCATGAAAAAGAGGCATGGTTTGCCTTGTTAAGCTCCCCTCTTTCATTAAAAACAAAGGCTGGACTGACAATCCCCATGAAGCTGCCACTGTCCTGAAAATCAGGCCCAAAACTCAAGTTCCTCAGCAGCCACGTATGCTGAAGAATCTCAAGGTCTTACAGCACTCAGCGCACGAAGTAGTCTCCTCTAACCCTCATTCTTTCTGGTGAAAACCCTTTAATTTCTAGTTCCTTACTCCTTACTCCTTCCTCCCCATCAGTGGGAACGATCCATTCACTGTTCACTCACAATGAAGCTTCCAGATTACACTTACATCCTAACAGGCTGCTCCTCTCTCATTGCATTCATGCTTTGTAAAAAGATCACACAACTTAACCTCCTAGTCACTCAATACCCACTTCTATCGCATTCTCTACCAATGCTCTATTCCAAGCCTCCCTATCCTGCCCCAGATCCCCAACTTCACTGCCCTCTCTCCCCAATTCCACCTTCTGGCTCTCCCCACTGACAATCCATTCCCAGCCTCCCTCTAGGCAAGCTTCCTCTCTCCATAATCCTTTGAATTTCAGTCTCCTTCTCTCCCACTTATTCCTCCACATTCCAGGCTCCATCTCTCCCCAAGCCTTCATTGCCCAGTCTCCCTCATCCAATCCTGAATTCCGTAGCCTCCCTATTACTGGGACCCAAACCCATCTCTCTGTCTTGCCTTGAGTTCCTATTCCCCAGTCTCCTCTTTCTTCAGTTCTGAGGACCCGAAACATTTAACTCTGATTTCTCTCCGCAGGTGCTGCCAGATCTGCTGAGCTTTTCTAGCAATTTTTGTTGTTGTTTCCTCCTTCGTCTGCTCCACTTGATTCCCAGCTCCCTGCCCCCACTCTCTGTGGACAAAGGTGCCCAGCAACAAACTCTATGTAAAATGTGTAAATGGTTCTGATTTAAGTGAATGTGGTTTAACCCCAATATGATACCTTACCCCAGGTTAACATCTATTAGTCATTCAAGTACTTTGTAAATCTGCATCGTTCATGTGGGCATGCTGAACTAGAGTTTAAATCTCTGATTTCCTGGATCTGGAGGAAACATCTGGGATAGAACCCCCTTATTTCAGGAAACTCCTGGTGATTCTAGGAATGTTGGAACCCCTAGCATCAAGAGATGAGGGGCAAACACAGGTAAATAGAAATGCAACACAAATCAACTTGGTGGGTCAATGGTATGAAGGGCTAAATGGTCTGCTCCTGTTCATCATGTTCTTAAACTGCGGAAAAAATGTAAGATGGGAAAATGGAACAGGTTCTACTTAAAATACCTTACCATCACTGAGCACAACCAGCTCAGAGGGAATGGTGCCAACAATCCATTTGCTCCCAACAGCAATTTAGTAAAATCCCATGAGCGAAATGGTTAAAACAGCAGACTTTTGATGTTCCAATCCCCAGAATAGCTCAGGCATTCACTGTAATTCCTCCTGAGACCAGGGGTTGTCTGATCTCAGGGTCACTGTATGAACAATGGCCATTAACATGCACCAGCTTCTACTGAGATTTGTTTTGTCCCAAGGTCCAAAAGGGATCTCAAAAGTGTGAAAACCTTCCTCCCCAATCTCTCCCCACCCCACGCCATGTGTCTCCATAGTGAGGCGCATTGCACTGATTGCAAGGATTCGTGTAAGTGATCATTTTGAGATCAGATTTAAACTCACACAGTATCAGAATTTATTTTATAAATCAGATCAATCATTTAAGTATTGAATCATTTGATACTAAAACATAATTTTCCATAGCACCCCATATGTGTATTGTCACAGAATTTAATTGAGAATACAAACCAAAAATACAATTCTATTTGTTACTTTGGCAGCTGAGAGACTTCTGCAGACGCATTTAGATGATTATTGTCCTTTGAAGTTTAGAATCGCACGAACGCTCGGATGTGTAATATTCTTCATTTTAAATATTTAAATTAAAATATTTTTAAAATAAATAAACATTTTTGCTACTTTTATTTCAAAAGTAGAGAAGCCTAAACAAATGTAAGACAACACATGCTGAAGATCTCGCCACAACAACTCTTGCTGGATCTAATGCAAAGAGCAAAGCATTGAATGAATGAAGAATAATTTATTTACTGTCACATACATCTAGGGAGGTACAGTGAAGTGTGCTGTCGCCACAATCCAGTGCCATTTTAAGGTAGAAGAAGAATAAAAGAAAGTACTCAAATACAGTTCATCTTCATTGACTGGGGTCCCAGACATGGCTCCAGGACTTCTGCAAGGTCCCTGCTCCGGGTCTCCCACAGCCAGGAGCCCCCGCTCCACCATCGCTGCAGCTGACACCCTGCCACCATTCCATGAGTCCATCAGATCTATGAAGCCATGAGTCCCCACCCTTACCGCTCTGGCCTCTGCACGATAACAGGAAGATGAAGAAAATGAAAAAAAAAGACAAAAAAACGGAGAGAGAGAAAAAGAATGCGGCTGGCCTGGAGCAGACAGCCTCCGGCTCCATTGAGGACCAAATGCAAGTACACATAGGTCCTGGAGTTCAATTTTCCAGAAGTGAATAGATTGGTTTAACACTACATCTTACACACCAGTACGTTCAACTAATCTCTGTACCAACACACTACAAAGGTCGGTATCTGTCTTGTACCATTAGGCGTCAGATCAGCAAGCAGTAACAATCCTTATTTACACGGCACCTTTAATGTGATAAAAATGCTTTAAGGATGCTTTGTGGTAATGCTATAAGACAAAAAATTGACACTTAGCCACATTACAACACCAAACCTTAGAATCTAACCAGTTGAAGGAACAGCTGCCAATGATGGTGTGAAGAAAACTGATCAGCTGCACATGGCTCCGATGCCAATATGTGGTGCCAGGGCAGTACGCTGCCATAACAGCTGTTGTTGCCACTGTCTGAAAGTGTCGCGTGTACTTGTATATGAAGTCGCCAAAGTTCTATTGTCTAGAATTGCATGAACGCTCGGATGTGTAATATTCTTCATTTCAAATATTCTCAGAGACAGAGGGCGACTGGTAGCTGGTTTAACCTGAGGGTCAGCATGCCCCAGGCGAGGGGAGACACTGTGAAGGAGAATCCTTTGCGGTAACCTCAGCTGGGAGAGCAGCACTACATGTGAACCACACTGTATATTTTGACAAACCATACCTGCCATTCACAGTTTCAAAAATAACACCAGCATCTCGTATCCGGGGATAAGAACCCTGAATTAATAACCTAAAAGTTGTGAGTTTAAATCCCACCCTGGCAATTTGAAAGCTTGAATGCAGTGTTTAAACAAGTCAGAAGATTAAAAAAAAAGTTGATGCCAGTCCAGTAATCTGTCAGATTTACTAAAGTCCTTGACAGAATGAACTCTACCATCTTCACCCAGTCTGCCTGAATGATCCAAGTTCCACAGAAATACATGAACTGTAAACTGCCCAGTTATTACAGAACCACAACGAAAACTGATAATCCACATGGACTGAGGCGGTACAATGGTTACAAATATTGCTCATGCTGTTGCTGTCCCTATCAGTGAATTATGACAGAGGCTAGATCATCTGATTTCCATGACTTCAAATAACCAGGAACTTTTTAAAGAGTTCTTTCAGCACGGGAATGGTCTGCAGGTGTGAACCTGACTTATTTGAGGACAGTGAACTTAACAGCTGCAGGGCAATGTCTCGCAAACACTGCTCGATCGCTTTCAGATCCGCATCTAATCGGAGACAATCTTCTCGGGCTGCCAGGCGACTGCAGAGATTTCTGAGCTCGGCGCTGAGCTGGAGAGTAAACAGCAAACAGAGAACGTGGGCAAAATGACTCCCCATGAATGAACGAATGTGTCAAAAATACAAACACTACTTTCTGCTCGCAAATGATGGTGAAACGGTTTTCCCTGTATAAAATAGCTCGGCTTCGAGTTAGGTGGTTTAAAAAAAACCTCCAGGGGTAGTTTTGTCTGCATTTATTCGGTTGAAGATTATTGATTAATTATTTTCAATCAACAATGTAGACAATTTTCACCATTGAAACTTACCTTACACTCCACGTGGAGGTGCGTCTCTTGCAGTGCAGACAATGCATTTTGCTCCAGATTCAGTAAACCTGAAATGAAGCCTGTTAACCGGGTTAACTTGCTCTCTCGGGCGACCTGCAGGATGGTCCTGCGTTTGCTGGAAGTAGCTGAGGGTGGGATCCTCCTGGTCCCGCTGCTGAAGCTGGGTTGCCTCAACGTAGAGCTGCTCCTGGGGGTCTGAGAGGGGCTGGGCTGGGCCGGACCAAGGTGCCGCTGATCCTGGAGGTATTGGTGCAGAATGCTTAAGGCGGATTGCTGGTGGGCGACGCAGATTTGCAGGTGGGCTACAGGACTCTGCATTCTCCACCTCCAGTGGACTTCTCCCTACTGCAGGACGAGGCCCCAGCTTGGAAAAGAAAGACGGCTGAACGACCTGTTTGCTCCACCCCCTTGACACCTTTAGAACCAATGATTTTGACTCGATTGAATGTAACAAGTGCAAAAAGCCTGCCCAGGACATAGATAGATGCCTTATGAAGAATTGCTTCAATGGTGCTGTGTCCCTGCTCTGGGTTGTAAGGTCCGGGTTCGAGTCCCAGCTCAGGATATGATGGTCCTAGGGGTGTGTCATAACATGTTCGGTCAGGTTGGTTTAAAAATTGTAGTTTGCATACAAAATAGCAATTCTTGGCATCTGGTAGTATTTTAAGTCGTGTATGAACTATTATTGTTTCAGTGAGAAGAGTATTCCAAGGGGGTTTGGGAACTCCCCCTACCCAGAGTGTCCTGGCTAATATTTATCTCTTAGTCTTCACTAATAAATCAAAACATCCATTTAATTTAAATTCAGCAAATGTGCAGCACCTTCAGGAAATGGCTGTGGACAGTGGACACTTAATATTTGAATTCTGAATCTCAAAGCAGAACTGGGAAATGGTAGGGCTGTATATTCGCTATATATAAATGATTCAGAAAAGGGAACTCAACAGAGACAAAAAAAAACTGCAAATGCTGGAATCCAGGGTAGGCAAACAGGAGTCTGGAAGAACACAGAAGGCCAGGCAGCATCTGGAGGAAAGGAGCAGTCAACGTTTCGAGTATCACTCTTCTTCAGGGCTGGATGTGGGGGTAGGGGGAGCTGCAGATAAAGAGAGGGGTTTGAGGGGTAGTGAAATGGTGTTGATCGGTGGACACTGGTAGTAGGTACGACCTAGTTGGTCAATGAGAGGGAGGGTCAGAAGGTGGAATGGAAGGGAGGAGGTGGGGCTGGAAAGGGAGCCGGGGGTTGGGTGGGAAGGTTATTGAAACTGGAGAACTCAATGTTGAGTCCTCCGGGTGGTAGGGTGCCCAGGTGGAAGATAAGGTGTTGTTTTTCAAATTTGCGTTGCAAGTCAATGCGATGCTGGAGGAGGCTGTGGATGGACATGTCGGAGGGGGAGTGGGATGGTGTGTTGAAATGGGCAGTGACTGGGAGGTTAGGTTAGCCATTACAGGCCAGGCGCAGATGCTCAGCGAAAGTCACCTAGTCTGCGTTTGGTCTCACCAACGTAGAGTAGACCACTTCAGGAGCACCAGATGCAATAGACTAGTTTGGAGGAGATGCAGATGAAGCTCTCACTCACTTGGAAGGGCTGTTTAGGGCACTGGATCGAGGTGAAGGAGGTGGTGTGTGGGCAGCTGTTGCATCTTTTACAGTTACAGAGGAAGGTACCGGGCGGGTTGGAGTGCTTGGTCGGGAGTGTGGCACGCACTAAGGAGTGGCGAAGGGAATGGTCCTTGCGGAAGGCAGAGAGGGGTGGGGAGTGAAAGATGTTCCAGGTGGTGGGGTCTAGTTGGAGTTGGCGGAAGTGTTTGAGGATGATACATTGGATGTGGAGGCTGGTGGGATGGAAAGTGAGGACAAGGGGGACCCTATCTTTATTATGTTTGGAGGGGAGGTGGTGGTTAAGAGCTGTGGAGTGGGAATGGAGGAGGCACATTGGAGGGTTGTCTGGATGACAGAGGAGGGAAAAGAGGGTTGTTTGAAAAAGGCAGACATCCGGGATTCTTGGGAGTGGAACGTCTCCTTGTCACAGCAGATGCAACGGAGTGGGAGAAATTGGGAAAACGGGATGGAGATTTTGCAGGATACAGGGTGAGAGGAGGTGTAGTCCAGGTAGCTATGGGAGTTTGTGGGTTTATAATAAATGTTGGTACGTAAGCTGTCGCCAGAAATGGAATTGGAGAGGTCAATAAAGGCGAGGGAGGCGTCTGAGATAGACCAAATGAACTTGAGGGCAGGTGTAAGATGTTAGCAAAGTCGATGAACTGCTCCAGTTCAGCCTAGGTGCAGGATGCAGCACCGATGTAATCATCGATGTAACAGTGGAAGAGTTGGGCAACAGTACCGGTGTATGTACTGAAGAGGGACTGTTCGACATACCCTACAAACAGGCAGGCATAGCTGGGGCAAGGAACTCAATGTAATATTTCCGAGTTTGCAGATGGCACAAAGCTGGTTGGGAGGGTGAGCGATGAGGAGGTTGCTGAGATGCTTCAGTGTGATTTAGCCAATTAATTTCAGTGAGTGGGCAAATGCATGGCAAATGAAGTGTAATGTGGATAAATGTGAGGTTATCCACTTTGGTAGCAAAAACAGGAAGAATATTCCACATGACCTACAGTCCAGAAGCAGGGGTCATAATCTAAGAATATGGGGGTAGGCCATTTAGGACTGAGATGAGGAGAAATTTCTTCACCCAGAGAATGGTGAGTCTGTGCTACAGAAAGCAGTGAGGCCAAAACTTTAGAGATAGTAGGAACTGCAGATGCTGGATATTAGAAGAGGCTTCGCAGTGGGGTTAAAATTGTTTCAGAGATAGTAGGAACTGCAGATGCTGGAGATAGCTGAGATAACAAGGTGTCGAGCTGGATGAACACAGCAGGCCAAGCAGCATCAGAAGAAGGGTCTAGGCCCGAAACGTCAGCCTTACTGCTCCTGTGATGCTGCTTGGCCTGCTGTGTTTATCCAGCTCTACACCTTGTTATCTTAGGCCAAAACTTTAAAAGTTTTCAAGGAGTTGGACATAGTTCTTCGGCTGAAGGGATCAAGGAGTATGGGAGATAGCAGGAACAGGGTTTTTCCCTTTTCAGTTTTTTCCCTAGGGTAGGGGAATCCAAAACTCGAGGGCATAGGTTTAAAGTGAGTGGGGAAAGATTTATAAGGGACCTGAGGGACAACATTTTCACACAGAGGATAGTGAGTATATGGAACGAGATGCCAGAGGAAGTGGCAGAGACAGGTACAATTACAACGTTTAAAAGACATTTGGGCAGGTACATGAATAGCAAAGGTTTAGGGCCAAGTGCAGGCAAATGGGACTAGTTCAGTTTAGGAAATCTGGTCAGCTTGGACAAGTTGGGCCAAAGGGCCTGTTTCCATGCTGTATGACTCTATGATCATATTGAATGGCAGAGCAGGTTTGAAGGGCTGAATGGTCCACTCCTCTTCCTATTTTCTGTGTTTGTATGTTTTGAACATGTACTGAGGGCAGATCTAATACAGCAGAAGACAGGAAGGCTTGAATAACAAAAGGGATGATGAGCAAAGCAAAAGTTGATGGGACCAGTAAATAAACAAGATTGGCTCAAACTGGAGGTGTAAATGAGAATTGCAGACTTATCATCAACAGCTAACTCCCAACTGAGGCCTGGTTAGGACCTGAAATTATTGAACTCAGTGTTGAATTCGAACACTGTGAAGTGCCTAATAAAAAGATGAGGCGCTGTGTCTTGTCTTACATTGAGCTCCAATGGAGCAATGTAGGAGACTGAGGACAGAAAGGTCAGTGTGGGCAGAGAATTAAATGAACTGACACAAAGGAAGCTCAGGTTCACACTTGCAGGTTGAATGGAGGTGTTCCATAAAGTGGTCACTTAATATGCATTTGACCTCTAGAATGTTGAGGAGACTGCATCATGGACAGTCATTTCAGTTCAAAAAAATGAAAGGAGTGTGAGTAATGGGGAAAGGGTTTGATTTGAATGGAGTGACTGGGGCGTTGGACTGTGAGAAGGTAGGAAGTGACAGGGCAAGTGTTGCATCCTTAAGAAGAGGCATGAAACTGAGGCTCCAGCTACCTGCTCAGATCAATGGAAGAGATCTAATAGCACCAGTCTGAAGAACAGGGGAGGCCTTGTTGTGTCCCATTTAATGTTTTTTTCCTCAATCAACTTCACAAAAACAAAGTTATTATATCTGGCTATTTTCACATTGCTATTTTTGGGGAGTTTGCTATGCTGCAAATTAGTTGCATTCTTCTATAACAACAGAGCCTACAGCACAAAAAAGTATTCCATTTTCTGTAAAGCACTTTGAGAGACCCAGTTGTAATTGGCTAAAGCTTTCCATTTTTCTTTCACCCTTATTTTTCCCCGATCTCTGAGAATGGGAGAGGGTGTTGGGGTGATTGACAAGTGGACCAGGATGTTGTTAAGAAATAGTCCTTTCAGTATGCTGAAAAGCCAGGGGAAGGTGTGCCTGAAGATGGTGGAAATGGTGGATGTTCTTTTGATACTGATGGCAGACAAGGGGGACCATATTGTGCTTCTGGGAGAGGGGGGATTAAGTGAGGGCAGAGTGTGGGAAATGAAAGTAACAAAGTCAAAGACCCTGTTAACCTTAGACAGCAGAAAGCCTCGGCTGAAGAAAAACAAAACAATATATCAGAAATACTGGAATGAATTGTGACATCTTCAATTACAGATAGGATGGAGACATAGAAATTGGAAGTATGGAAATTAGGAGAATAAAATCCTGACATTAAGCAGGGTTGGAGGAAGTGACATCAAAGTAGCTGGGGGAGTCTGTGGGAATATGGTGGATATGAGTTAACATCACGATTTTGTGAAAATTTTACAATTATGACTTTCTTAAACTCCCCTTGGAAGCATTTGGTTTGTGCTGTATCCATTGGAAAGCATCTCTTTACATTGAAAGCAAATGTGCTCCTCATTTACGTATGCTTTAATTTTACATTGTCTATCTCTGACTTTCCCATTTCGTTCTTCAACTCCTCTCCAACTCTTGAATGGACTCCCTCACCTACCTGGATTACATTTCATTCTATCCTGCTTCATGTAAAGACTTCATGTATTTCTTCTGTTTCCTCCGTCTCTCATCTTTCTCTCTGTCAATCCTAATGTACCGGAGTATGATCAGTAGCAGGAATCCAACTGAATGTCCCTGTATATCTGATTGAGTTTGGAGTTGGTGTCACATTGCCAACCCTTTCCAGAAATCTCCAGGAATGGAAAATTATTCTTGAGTACACTACAACTAGCAACCCAGAGAAAACAACTTTTTGCATTTGACACTGGTGTAGTTTGTTCACATCCCTCTCCTCATTCACTAACTTAATTCCTCTTTCCAGTCTCTGACTCCATCCCCCTCACTGTTCACTGACTCCATCCCTCTCCTTCATCACTGACTTAATTCTTCTCCACGGTCACTGACTCCAGCACTCTACCTGTTAATTGACTCCACCCCTTTCTACAGCCACTGACTCCATCCCTCTACCTGTTCACTAACTTCATCCCTGTTCCC